TCAAAACATTGAGGAAATTCAAGAGAATATGACAAGGCAGCTGCTTGCCATCCCAAAAAAGGAGTTTTGGGAATGCTTCCATCAATGGAAACAATGCTGGACAATAAAGTGTGTGTCTTCAGAAGAGAACTACTTTGAAGGAGATTAAATTCTGAATTGATATGTGTTATAGTTTTCTTTTTATAGTACTTGTCCTGATACTTTTTGATAAGACCTTCTATATACACACCATGGAATAATCACTGCTTACACATTTTAAAAAGGTTAAATTTATTTTAAGTGCTGCTGTCTAAAGTTTATTTTATGAATTGTATTGCAAAAGTGATAGCTGCTATATTTTAAGAAAAATAATTTTAAGCAATTCAGTGTCAGTTATTTCAAGTAATTTTGGAAAGTATAGCTTTTTTTATCTACTTATTTTTTAAAATACAGTTTAATGTATTGAATTATGCAGGTTGTTTATTTATAGAATTTTAGGTATGTATTATTATTTAGTCTTATGGTAAAATGTTCAACTTGTTTATAGCTGAACATTTCAACTTGAAATAAACTTAGTCTCTTTTAGCTGCTTAAACAATACAAACCAAGCATTTAAGTGTTAGATATAGATTTTCAGCATATATATTATTTGTTATAATAAAGACCTTTTTATTTTAAAAATATATTTAAATTTCCTCTTGTAAAAGTAACTTAATAAATTGTTGAAAACTTCTGAATAAAAGAATTTCAAATATTGAGTGCATATGTAAGCCTTCTTATTTTTTCTTACATGTGCTACATGTAGATATGTTCAGCTAAACTGGGGCATTTAAGCAAATCAATATGGTTTGCTTAATTGATCTGTTTTCTGATCTGTTTATAGAAATTACCAAGATCTTAGTATAGATCTTCTACAGCTGTTACTTTTTCTAAGTTGACTGAAACAAGAGTTATGACCCCACCACCTCCAAAATAAGTATCCATTTGTTTTTTTGAATAATGTAGATGGTTGACATATCACAGAAATAAATATAAGGCTACATTGATTGTCTTAATTCCTATTTTGAACCTGGCTCAAGAATTGAAACTTAGTAATGACATGTCAGGTAACATATCTGTTTTCTTAAATAAAATTTATACCATTTTTTAGCTATTAACACCAACTTGGATAGTGTTGGAAATAAAATCTACATAGACAAAAAAATTGTGTTAGCGATTTGATTTCTATGGCTTATCAACAATTTGCAGTCTATTTTAAGCCAGAAAATATTTTTAGCTTGTAAGATTTTTATTTTTTATTTTGAGATAATGATTTAGTGATACAAGTCTTACTAATTAACCTATAGCTGGTGGGGAGAAGATTCATACCTTTCCCAAGGGTACCTGTGCATAAGTGAATATAATAAATCCACCTGAAATTGGAACTTTGCTCTCCGATTAACAATTCTGAGCCATTATCCATTATGCCACCTGCATATCTAAGCTTACAGCTGGTATTCCCAAGTGGTCACCCATCTAGGTACTGACCAGGCTTCATGTTGCTTAACTTCGGTGATTGTACAGGAATGTTTCTATATGTGAAGTTTTTAAAATCTATTTAAAATCTAAGCTATCATGTAGACATCAATATATTTAGAACTTTTCTGTATATTATCTACTAAAAAAGAAAATATTAGTTATTTTTTATAAAACTTTATGGATATAAATAGATAATTATTTTTACCCAATAATCTAAACTGTAATAGTATTTACATCAAATGAACTATGATTTTTAATGTTATAACATAATGAAAATTGTTAACAGATATTTTTGAGAAGTCACTTATATCTAAATAAACTATAAATAATGTACTTAAAATTTATTTACTTAACATTTTTTTAAATGCACCTTCCTATCCGCAAGGTGGGGCGGGGGGTTTTGCGACAAACAACTGATAATATAAAACTTGTATAAACACAACTGCACTATTTCTAATTGGGTTACATCATGCAATAATGTCTTTAAGAATGAACAAAGTTAAAATAAGTTGATATAAAAAAAGTTGACATCTTTTTAGAATAATGTCCTCAAAGAATTGAATAATATCTGTAAGTAAATTCAATTTATTATTTAATCACATGACAAGCAGATACCAGTTCTGCAGTCTGGAAGATAAGTCTGAACATTTTATTTATCTACTATTAATTTTCTATCTCTTGATATTGACCACTTAAAAGGACCTATCGCCTTAAAAGGGTTATCCTCCTGAAATATACTGGCTAGCCATTTCTTGGTCAATCACAATCCCAATTATAGTTTTCAGTAGATTGGTAGATTATACAGTTACAATTAGTTGAATGTATAAAGCAGCTTCTTAAAAATTATTCATCTCTTTTTATTCAGAAGAAAAGGTTTTGTTTTTCTCCAGCCATAATTATTTTATTGGTCTTGGAAAAATAAAAAAAACTTGACAAGCTGATTCTTGTACATTTTGAGCTTGTTATCTTTGGCTCTATTAAACAACTTCATAAATTACAGGCTATATTAGTCAAAATATTGTTTTGATAAAGATCATCACATATAAAATGTATTTGATGATATAGAAAACTCTCATTTTTTTTCTTTTTCTTTTAAATTGCTAAAAAAAAAATCCTGTTTAAAGTGTGTATTTGATATGTGAAGTCTAAATTCATAATTGTGTCTTATTAAATGTAAATGGTAGGATATTTTACATATCTAATATAGTGCTTTCATTTCTTGTGATTTAATAAAATAAGTTGGTTAGCTTATGAATTTGGTATTTGGTTTCTAAGTATATATTTGTAAAGAATTAATGGATTTATTTTTAATCTGACATTTTTATTACTTCAAACAGATGCCCCATTTTTATTTATTAAAATGTATCTTGGGTCCATTGTCCTGCGCATTTGAGAAATCTTAGTAAAGAAAAATGTAGCATGGATTGAACTTGCATCTCCCTTTGTAATGGAAACCACTATTTGATACAGTATGCTTTACTGCTTGGCTACAGATAACGTAGCAAGCAAGGTTCTATTTTCTCCTTTTAAGGGAAGCACATCTGCTCGGATTATTTTCTCAAAAGCTTCATATCCAAAATGTAAACAAAGCAATTTTTAATGAATTAATAGATTTATTTTTTAATCAGACAGTTTTATTTTTATAGTAGGTACTTTGTATTTGACACCCTATTATTATTTATTAAACTGTGTTTTGTTTGGATTAGTCTGTCTGCGTATTTGAGAAACCAACATTTATTGAATGGACAAGCCAATAGGATAGACACTTAATAAACATTGTTTTAATAAATAAAAATGGTGACTCTATTTCAAATATGAAGTATTCCCTATAATAAATAATAAAAAATATATTTCTGAGAGAATCCTTTCTACTTTCCATCAGCATAGCTGATGCTAACCTCCAGGAGAGTGACTTGTTGCATCTTCTCAGGCTGACATGAGTGATGAGACTATATTGAATCCGTTGCTAGGTCAGCTGCTAAGAAAGTTGGGTCACTGTGTCATGCTAGACTATTTTTCTCTCCAGAATCTATCTTAAATCTCTATAAGTCTGCCATTTATTCATGCCTAGAATATTGCTAACATATATGGTCTTGTTCTTCTATTTATTTAGAGCCCCTTGATAAGATCCAAAGAAAAATCGGCAATATTACATTAATGGTCCTGATCTGGCATCTTGGCTTCAGTCACTTTCCCACCTACATAAAGTTGCCATCTCCACTCTTGCCCAGTGTCTTTTTTACAAATACTTCCATGGTAATTGTCTGGATGAGCTCTTTGCAATGGTACCTAGACTATTTGAATTTAAGTGCAGTACTAGACTGGCAACAAGGTCTCATCAATTTACAATTGGCTAGATTTAAATTCTATGCTAACAGTTTCTTTTCTCCCACTTCTCGCTTGTGGGACTCCCTTCTGGTGCCATGCTTTACAGCCAACTTCAAAAATTTAAATGCAATGTCAATTGCTATCTACTCTCCTCCTGATTACACATTTGTTCTCGCTCCTTAGTAATGTTTCTGTTTTCTAATTCTTCCACATCCAGTAACCCCTTGTGTCTTAATGGCTTTACTGTCTTACTTGTGGCGAACTCTATTATATATATATATATATATATATATATATATATTTATTGTTATGGATCAATTACTGCAACACAAAATTTGAAAAAAGATAAAAAAAAACAACAAAAAAAAACAACTGGTTGTCAAAGGAGATTACCAAGTACTCTGTAGTGGAAGGATTCTCTTACAGGTTCAAATATATGGATGAGGAGAAACAATCAACAGTAACGAACAACAAATGCCATATATATATATATATATATATATATATATATATTCAGCAATGTAGAATTCATTGTTTTGGCTGTATAAATCTTAGCCTGCATTCAATTGAGTGGGTCACACATGCCTGTCGTAAGTGATTATCATGTTTAGTAATTCACCTATGCATTTGATATATACAGCATAGCGTGTTGAATTGGAACTAGTCTTCATTGCATGATTTTCTTTGCTTGATGGTAACAGGTGAAATAAATGTTACTTGCTTAAGACTCAGATTCCAATTAATGCCTTTCATTATTTTCCTGCTCGATGTTCCATACTTGATATCGTGAGTCGGCATGTGTGAGAATCTATTTTTAGATCTCACTTGGACCTGTTGCTAGGTTATCAGCCTGTGTGATTTAATTGTTCTTGTACTCAGTGACTACTGTCATAGATTGAAAGAGAGAATGTGGGTAGGTATACCTTATTATAGCGAGGTGGAAAGAGAGATGGTTCACTAAGTGTGTGGTTAGGGAGTTTGGTTGTGTAAGGATATAACCTTTTTTTTTTATAATTCATGGATCATCTGCTTGTAAAGTCAACATTTGTTTGATGTCAAACTAATTTTGCTTTTCATGCTTTTTCAGGCAATATGATGATGATGAAGATGGAATGGATGAAGTCCCTTTGATGTTTAATGGTGAGGACTTTGATATGGATGAAAGTGAATCATTGATGAAACAAAAGAGGTCCAGGTGTCCACGCCTGAGAACCCTTGGATATTACCTCTCAGAAGGATGGTGGCATGCATGCTGCAGGTAATTATTTTCAAGATAATATTTTAAAATCCTTTCTGTAATTTTTAGATGGGTCATTATTATTCCAAGAGTTCAAACTATTGACCTTATTGTTACTACAATGCTTTGGTTGATCCATTCTATAGACTTCTTTAGATGTATGAGTTTTGTAAAAAGAGGAAATGTTTGTTTTTTTTTCTTTTATTTACTGACAGTTTTTTCTTCAGTAGAGTAAGAAAATAAGTCAACAGGCAATGATGTTGATTATACTGATTAGACCAATCCATTATAGAAAACATTTTTAGAAATGTTACACAAATGATTCTTAACTTTATAAACAGTTGCTGTCTAATCCTTTTCTTAAGCAAAGAAATCCATTTGTATATGAGAAGTAGTCAGGAATATGCTGGATTTTCTGTTTCAGTAATGACTAAAGAAATATGGCAATAAAAATGCAACCTCCTCAACCACACACAAATATAATGACTACATGAGGTAATGGATAAATCTCTTATTTTTAGTAATGTCTTGAGTTTCATGTATTCTATACCTTATGAGTTGAAAATCTGGATTAAATCTGACAGAACGATTAAATAAGGACAAGTAGGTCAAATTTTTATAAACTTGTCATATCACCAAAAGTTTCTGATAAAGCTATATAAATAGCAAAACAAAGATATTCCTTACTTAATCATATTGTATACAGATTGAAAAAAATACATAATAAAAATGCAAGTCACTAGTGATGTGCCCTGTTTTCATTATGAGTTTCTAGTTTACACATCATACTCAGTCCATCAATAACCTTACCTAGCATTTCAAATCTTTACCATCTGGTATATAATATATATGATCTCCTTCACTCATTGTTCCTAATATTTTTAGTAATATCTTTGGCATAATTTGTCCGCTTGCTCATTCTGTACTTGGTAATTTTAGCTTTAGTTTTTCTGATTAGAAGTTTTAGTTTGCCCAATGGTATCCATTTTGTAAAGTGATGCACACATGCAATTAGATCAGCTGTTTATAGAATTTGATTTTGCTTAGTCTGGGATTATCTCTCTTCTGTTCATGACTTGTATAATCCAGCATAATTTTAATTAGCAAAATAACTACCTATCAGATGATCTCTATTTGTGTCCATATTTAGAGATCCTTTCTTTTATAAGATCAACAATGTTGATTTATAGGCTTTTCTTTGAAATTTGATTTACTTTAAATATATTAAAGAATTAATATCTTGTATAACAGTCATGTATCAGCTTTCCCCTGGCCACCCAAATAGAGCTTGAACGTGCCAGCAAAATATTCTCTCTATATACTTCAACCTATGGATCATCACATACTTAAAAATAAAACTGCCTTCATTTTCACTAGTCACTAATTTTTTAGTCAAAGGAATGCACTTTCTCAACATCCTTTTCACATTTAAGCATGTGGCCATTGGACTACATGGTCATCACAACTACTGGTAGCTAATTAGGTTACCAATTTAAATGTAAAGAACAATTTGGGCCCAGGAGGGAAAATTGAATAAGTCACATGGTGATGCCCAGACTGATTAACAACAGGAGATTGTTGATGCTCATTAAAGCAGCTCTGACAATGCTATTTCTCAACAATGGTGTGAATGACATCACAACCTTGCATTAATTCTCAGACTGTGCAAAGTGATAATCAGAAATTATCACAAGTACTCATAAAGTTGATAAAAAAAACATTTAAACTTTTTGCTTTTCTCTAATAAGTTGGGTACATAAAAATTATCTTTATCCTATCTGGAGGTTGGTTAAACAAAAAGAGAAAGAAAGAAAGAAGGAATAGGAGAGAGCCTACCAACTGGATCATAATTGTTGAAATTGCAGGAAGATGGATCGAAAAGTTAAGAAAATTAAAAAATGAAATTCATTAAAAAAGCATGTTTTTGAGATAATTCCAAGGAGAATTGAACCCAGATTTAACTAGATGAAATTCAGTAAGATTGAGCTGACTCTAGACTGTCTTTCTCCCACCTGCCATCGATAAGAGACTATTAAGGTATTTGCAAAGATGTCAGATAAAATAAAACATATTTTGAATCAACCACCCAGAAGAAAAGATAATTTCAGCAACATTCATCCAGAGAAAATTTTATATCAAAACATTAATTCAGATCCCCTTGGATACAAGTGGTAAGGAAAAATTACTGTTTTGAAATGGTCATGAGAAGGAAGGTCTAGTTGATCATAAAACAGGAGGAAAGATAAACTTTTCTTTTAAGGAGAGTGGAAATAGATTTTTCTTTCTCCAGTTCTTGTGTGGTTTGGTCAATTGAGGGGATCCCAGTATGGGGCAAGCTGATAGATAAGGACTAATGACTGAAAATTCTTTTTGTTTTCTGCTGCACCATCTGGAAGTTGGATTTATCACATCAGGAAGTTGAACTGAAGTTGGCTGTTGAGAGACAGAGAGATTGATTTGCATCGCTTAATATAAAATTGAGGCTACAAGGCAAAATGTGAAGATAGGAGGGGGTTAAGAAGTGGGCTTAATCCCTCTGACTACTCTCATGTAGCCTCCCTGTTCTCTTCACTTATGCTTAGGTATTAAAACTAGGATTTGATTGGTACAGGTTGGGGCACCTAGTGGGAATCAAACTTGTCAATATTTGACAACTCACTCTCAGCAATATATAACTCATCCTCTTTTCCTTCATATTCCATTGGCAAGGAAGAAGTTCTACTCCAACAGCTTCTTTTATTATTAGTTTGATTAGTGAGTTTTTTTTCCCTGTTTTTTTGTTCTCTCTCTCTCTCTCTCTCTCTCTCAATATTTTTGCCAATTTATTTTTGGGACATGAAATTAAACAATCTAAAAATATTATCTCAAAAAGAAACTAATAAAACTTTTAAAAGAAGTCTAGTGAGAATAGTGCATTTTTTTTTTTTTTTTATTTCTGAGCAATTTCTGAAAACCTAATTTAAAATTATAACAACTTCACAACAATGAGTAAACAGTACAGATTGAAAATAAAATGCCAAAAAAAAAAAAAACAAAACAAATATAAAAGTGAAATGAAATTAAATACTAGTCAAAATTAATAGTAAAATGTTTATTATTAATAATGGTTGATAATTTTACCTCAAAAAAATGATAACACTGATGCTATTAATACATGTGTAAAAACAAAAATATAGTGCTGAGAAAGAGATTGAGTGATGATTTTAAAGTTAGATTTGATCTTCTGCAAGCTGTAGGGCTGGTGCATTTAACAGACTTCCTGGAGGTAAGAGACATGGTTTAGTCTCATTGAGATCCATTCCTTTGTTTAGTCTGTGCTATCTATTGGCTTTTGTAGATTGATTGCTTGAGTAAAATTTTAATAAACATTAAAAAAAAAAAAGAAAAAAAAAAAAAGTAAATACTATTAATATTATTATACCAATAAATATTATTTACATATATGAGTAATATTAGTAATAAAAAGATGATTGTATATCAGGAAATAATGTTATTGTTAGATTTGAATAATTGCAGCTTTTGACCTCTGTAATCTTTCTAGGTTGTCTCTGGAGGTTTATTCTTTACTAGCAGTAGAGCCCGGCGTTGCCTGGGGACAGTAACAGTAAGAGATAGATCAAGTATCGACGATCATAAAGACTGAAAAATAAAATTGACAAAGATTATTGTTTAAGGTTGACAGACACGCATGTCTTAATTAGTTTTTTTTTTTTTTTTTATGAATTGGTCAAACTCAAACAAAAACATTGTTTTCAATTGCTAAGAGTATATCGATTGAACAGAATTTTATTATAAACAATTGTCTTGTAAATGGAATTTTTAAAGCATTCTGAATGTAAAAATAAAGAACAAAAGTGTGCAAGACAATAAGAAACACTATCTGCCAAAAAAAAGTGAAGTTTTGTTGAAATCGGTTGAAAAATGTAGGAAGTCTGATCCCATATATAAAGGAACCCACACACACACACACACACACACACACACACAACACAAACACAAACAACCTGTGTTTTATAATAAGTATAACTCGATAGAGTTGTCCTCCTTTCATTCTGGTGACAGAATCGTGTTTTCAAATTGATTTCATGCAAAAACAATTGTATTTTTCCAATTTTGGGCACTGTCAGAACCACTGCAAGGTAATTTTACGCAGTTCTGTGAAGTTTTGTTGAAATCAGTTGAAAAATGTAGGAAATCCGATCCAATATATAAAACAGTACACACACACACACACACACACACACACACAATCTGTGTTTTATAATAAGTAAAATTTTCAATCTGTGCTATTTACTAAAGACAGTAGAATGATGGTCAGAAAGTTGTAATGAAAAAAAAAAAAATTAAAATAGGAGATATAGATGAATCATGATTTTTTTTTTATTTTATTTAACTAAGAAAAAATAACAAAACTGGTTTTCTATTTCTTTACTATTTCTCTAGTATCCGAATTTGAATTTGAGACCAACTGTTTCTATAAAACAACATTTTTTTGCTAATTTTATCCTTAGCAACTGACTGTCACTGTGGCATGACACTTTTTCAATACAAAAATTATTTTAGTGACAAAGAGCTAATACAAACACAACTTGTATATTTGGCATGACATTCTGCCTTTGACATTAATAACAAGATATTCATAAAATTCTGATTATAAAAACTAATTCTAATATCCTGTTTTATGAAATAATTATAACATCTCTGTACTAAAATTTTAAAAAAAATGATTATTTGAATTGTTTTAATTTTGCTTAGAAATGTGAACTATTGCTCTATTAATGACAGTAGGATTATATTTATTTTCATTTTTAAATTTTACAAAATTTTTAAAATTAAAAAAAAAAAGAAGCTTTTTAATGAAAAAAAATTTCAATGAAAGAGTATATTGCAACAAATAACATTTCAATTTAGTTGAAGTGCTGCCAAACACATTAGTCAATTCATCTTACAGCATAGAGTGCATTTTGTAGTGTCTTGTAAGTATTAATCAACAGGAGTACCAGTAATAACATTGACATTGC